GAACATGGATAATTTTATGCTTGAGAAGACGTTCTACATGCACTTGAAACTGAAGAAAGACATCAAACACGTCAGCTTTGCGCTTAAGAAGATAAAGCCAGGTAAAGCGACTATAGACATCAATAAAGCTAACATAATAGTTATGACCACGCACATACGTTTGGGCAGGACCCCATACATTAGAAAACACAAGTTCAAGAGGACTCGTTACTTGACGAGTAGAAGAAACAAATGGTAACCGATGACTCTTGCCTTGTTGACAGACATCACACACGGACATCTCCTTATTACTAGACTCGATAGGCAGCTCATGGCGGTGAAGTATATGGCGAACTATGGGAGTGGCAGGGTGACCAAGGCGAGAGTGCCACTGGGACGGCGACACACGAACACCACTGAAGACGCGCAGGGCGGGTGGATCCTCCAAGCGGTATAGGCCATGGCTGAGGCGATCACTAAGAAGAATTTCCCGGGTGGCTCGGTCCTTAACAAAAAGATCAAACGGATGAAATTCACATAAGACATTGTTCAAGAGTGAGCTTGGGAACAGATAATAGATTAAGAGTCACCGAGGGGACCCGTAAAATATTACGAAGAAGAAGCTGCCTAGATGGATGACTAGTTAAGAGAGATGCTTGACCAACGTGAGAGATGGGCATACCTACACCGTTGGCGGTGTGAACCTTGTCGTGACCGTAGTATGGCTGGTGGGTGGACAACTTGGCGAGCTCGTTCGTCATGTGATTCGTGGCACCAATGTCCATATACCACGCAGGATCAATTGGGTATGATGGAGTAAAGCCGTGTTCAGCGCGGGTATCCTTGCCCTTGGCGGCAACATGAGCAGCAGGAGGGCCAAAATCTGCCATAGCAAATTGACGCTCATTACCTTTTCCATCGTTGCCAATACCCAGGAAGCTCCGCTGAAATCGCTTGTGGCACCTGGAGGCGAGATGCCTGTCACGCCCGCAGAGCTGGCACCGCACGGGGCCGCCACCCGAGGATGGCGCAGGGGGGTTGGCGACCCGGGCAGGCGACGAAGGCGCAGGGGGGCGCTGGCCGCGCGACGCCCAAAAGGCCGCGGGCTGGTCGGCGATGGTGGTGACGGAGCGGCGAGTTTCGATGCGTTGCTCGGTGAAGAGCAAACGAGAGAAGAGCTCGTGCGGAGGAAGCGGCGGCTTGGCGTTGTGGACGGCCTCGGCAAGGTTGTCGTAGTCGGCATCGAGACCCTTAATGACGTAGCCGGCAAACTCCTCATCACTCAGCGGTCGACCGATAGAGGTCAACGTATCCGCCAAGACCTTGATTTTGTTGAAGTACGTTGTGGCAGATGAGTCCAGTTTCTTGATATCATCAAGCTTGCTGCGAAGAGCCATTGAGTGGGCGGTGGAGGTCTGTGCAAAGGCATGCTCCAAAGTCGTCCACGCATCCAAGGAAGAGGCAGCAAAGAGGCAAAGACCAGCAACCCCGTCTCCGAGGGAACCCTGGATGGCGGAGAGGATCGCTTGGTCTTGCTGCACCCACACACGGTGCGCCGGGTTGATGGCCGGGCCATGGACGGTGGGAATAACCTGCGGCGGACATGGCAGGGAGCCATCAACGTAGCCAAGGAGGGAGCGGCTGCGGAGCAGCGGGAGAACCTTGGCGCGCCAAAACAAATAGTTGTCCGGCGTGAGGCGAGTCGTGATGAGGTTGTCGAAGTGGAACGGGCCGGAGATCACGGCGGCGTCGGTGGGAGCAACAACAGGAACCGCAGAGGCGTCGGGTGCCACACCCGCGGGCTGATCATGGGAGACCCCTGAGGCCACCGGCATGACGGCAAGTGTCGGGGACGAGCCAGCAGTGGCCGCAGGTGGCGCCAGCATCGCGGCGGTGGAGAACGCCATCGTCGACGGCGCGGGAGACGACGGGATCGGAGCCGAGAACATCGATCCAACGGCGGTGGTGCCGAAGACTTGGGGCCGCGGCGTCGCACCAGCATGGGCGGGGAGGTTGAGAAGGGCGGCCAGCGTCGCGGGGATGGCCCCGGAGCTGGCGGAACCGGAGGCGGAAGCGGTCATGGTAGCTGCGGCGGTGGCGGCCCTAGGGTTTGGGGCACGGCGGCGGCGGCGGCTGAGGTGGAGTCGGCGTAGGTCCTAGGTTTAGGCTGATACCATGTTAAACGTAGGATTTGTGGAAACTGGTCTCAACCCTCTAGGGGTGGCCTATCACATATATTTATAAGGTTACACAATATACAGATGTACACAGTTGGGCTACGTTACAAAGTCTAACAGTATACGCTAGAACTATCTATGTATCCATTTTAAATCTGAAAAAATGGCCGCCGGCGTTGGCGACGTAGCAGGCGGGCGAGTGTGTGAATGCAATGTGTCACCGACCAGCGAGCCCGATGAGGAAAGAGGGCGAGCGCGCGTGCGTCCGTCTTGTGTCCACGCCGACGCAAATCAGTCTTAAAAATGGGCCGGGAATGGATCGGCAGGCGGATAAAAGCGGACACGCGTGTCCGTTCGCCACATCGAAGTTGCTCTAATACCTTCGCCTTCAAGTCTTCCTCCATGTACTCACTAGGTGTCCTGCAAAAGGGCTAGCTAGCTCGGTACAGTACAAAAATGGGTCAAATTTCACGGATGGATAACCATGCGGCCTCCACTACCGACCAAATCGCTCGTTCGGCGTTTTGGGCTTTTGGCTCGAGCCTACCGTGGTCATGTTTGGAAGAGAACATAGTACGAAACCAAGTTCCACAACAAAGACAACGGAGGCAACATTTTCCTCATCAGATTCAGCGTCCACCCTCTCACCTCTGACGATGGACGACGGGCGGTGGCCGTGGGAAAAAAATACAAACGACAAGCCCCCATTTCAACCCAAAACGCCTAGAAGCAAAGAAAAACATCGGTTCTTCCACATTGGACTACTGTAACTCGCAGCAATGGATCAATCTATCTGATTTTGATCTTTTACTGACAGAGCAGAGAGACGAGCAAGGTTCAGTTTTACATATTTGCTATTCACTGCACCGCACCCCAAAAGAAACACACAAGCAGAGATTCATACTAGAAAGTAAGTAATACTAAGCGAACACATGACAAGAGACTGTAGTCAGCACAATCACCACATTATTATCATAATATCAACAAATGTACACACACGAGGCATGACATAAGCCAACAACACCAGCAGCAACCGGGTGGTGGCAAGCATAGCATAGGCAACAGCGGTCGACACTGAACAGTGTGTGACAACAACCGGAGCATATTTGTACATATACCAACCCGTGTGGTGTGATAAAATGAAGAACAATATATTGTACAGTAAGTAGCAGCGGGCACCAGCTGAGCTACGGTCGCTCTGTAGAAGCAAGCACCGGCAGAGCAGCTACGAGCTGGACCCCTCTTCCTCTCTCTATCTCTAATCCTCACTCCCATGTGCCACCATGAGTGGCAGCTAGGTTTTACTACAAGCGCTACTTAATTACACTGGTGTGGACTGAAGCAAGTGTGAGCTAACTGAATATGAACAGAGACCAACTACGTACTAGTGTGAGCTACCTGCAGGCGCAGGGGGGAATGGAAGGGAAGATTCCGGGGATCTCCTATGCCTAAGGCGAGGCTCCCTCTGGCGACTTCCTCTTTCCATCTCCTCCTCTGCTTCTTGCCGTCCTCCGGGAAACGTGGAGGCGGCAAGCGCGGCGGGGGCTCGATCGGCTCAGGCCTGAGATTCGAGCTCCTTGCCGGTGACGAAGGTGCCGTGGAAGCCGTACGGCACCCGGGACGGCAGCTGGATCGTCGCCTCCAGCCGCATGTCGGCGGCATTGACCACAAGGAGCTCCGAGGTGCCGGCGGCCTCGTCGTGAACGAAGGTGAGAATGTACCCGTCGTCCTCGCCGCGGGACGCGGCCGGGTCCATGGGCACGAAGCAGGGCTCGCCGCCGAACCGGCCCTCGCCGTACTCGAACTTGGTGAGCTCCCCCGTGGCGAGGTCCACCTTGGCGAACCCGGACACCTTGGGCCACGGCTCGGCCACGGCCAGGTAGGCGTACCGCGTCTTGCGGCCCAGGAGGTTGGAGTTCACCATGCCGACCTCCAGGTTCACCTGCTCCGACAGCGCCAGGATGGGGCGCCGCGTGGACTCGCCGGTGCGGGTGTTGAGGCGGATCTCCGTGAGCACGCTCTCCAGGCACTCGTCCGACTCGTTGAAGATGGAGTCGGCGGGGGTCATGCAGGAGCCGATCACCACCACCTCGTCGCTCTCCTCCTCCTCCCACGCGTTCCAGAGGTGGAAGCAGAAGCAGTCCGGCACGTCCACCCACACCATCTCCGACGCGTCCGCCGCGCACTTTGGCAGCACACCGAAGCGGGACGTCTTCTCCTTGTCGAGCACCACGGGCGAGCCGCCGCGCAGCATCTCTTGCAGCTTGAACACCACCTGATGGTCAGGCACGACGACATAATTCTCGGTGATGGCGAAGTCGTGGATCATGGTGGGCTGGTCCAGCGGGATCTCGACGTCGGCCGACTTGGTGCCGTCGGCCTTGAAGTAGAAGTACTTGAGGTAGGGCTTCTTGATGACGTCGTAGCTGAGCGCGTGGAGCTCCCCGGTGGCGGGGTCGAGTTTGGGGTGCGCGATCATGGGGCACTCGAGCTGCCCGTCGAAGTCGTAGCGGCCGACGGTCTGGAGATCGCCGTCGTCGGTGACGCGGACGTGGTACGGGATGTCGTCCTCGGACATGGCGAGGAGGTGGCCGTTGAAGTAGACAAGGCCGGCGTTGGCCACGCCAGTGCCGCGCGAGGGGTCGATGAGGCCGCAGGCCGCGCGGGCGTAGAACAGAGCAAGGCGCGCGATCCCGGAGTGGCCGTGGAGCTCGCCGATGGCCTTGGGGAACATGGGGCGGCCGAGCGCGCGCTCCTGCTGCAGGCGCTCCGTCTCGGTGAAGCGGGAGGCGTAGGTCTCGGCGACGCCGTTGCGGATCCGCAGGGCGTGCACCATGCCGTCGCCGTCGAACAGGTGGTGCCCGGCGACGGGGTCGAAGTGCGGGTTGGCGCCGTTCCGGGCGTACACACCGTTGATGAAAGGGGGGATGCGGCCGGTGACCGGCAGAGCCTGCACGGGCGGGGTCTCCCCGACGGGCGCGAAGTTGCCGGCGATCTGCACCGCGGGGTCGACCGTCCTGGAGAGGCCGTGGGGGCGCTCCAGCACGTTGGCCACGAAGCCCTCCTCGAAGGCGTCGAGCGCCGTGGCCGCGGCGCGCTGGAAGAAGTTGAGCTTCTTCTCCTGCCTCTCCACGGCGGGCGCCTTGGGGACGGCAATGAGGGGCTTGGCCGGCGCGGCGTCGGCGCCGCGCACGAACCGGGACGGGGCCGGCGCGCGCGGCGGGGAGCTGACGGCGCGGGCGGAGAAGCTGAGCGAGCCGGACCGGCCCGTGCGGCGCGGCGTGTGCCGCTGTATGGAGGAGACCGAGGTGGAGGCTGTGAGTGTCTGCATCTGCGGCGGCGGCGAGACTCCGGTGGGGTTTGGGCGGAATTGGCGTGGGTTTTGTTGCGAGAGAGAGAGAGAGGGAGAGCGTGCGGTGCGGGAGTGAGGAGGTCTGGATGGACCGGTGGATGGTTGATGTCTGGAGGTCGGAGGGCGAGCGTATATATAGAGTTTGAGCGGGCGGGCAGGGCAGGGGAGGCCGATACGCGTTGGTAAAAGAGATGGATCGACGGGAGTGTGGTGGACGGTTTGAACGGGCACACACTGGGGGGAGTGGGGGGGCGCCCACGTGGTGCGCTGCGGGGACGAGCTGACTGGGACGTGCCCCGAGCGCCCACTTTGCTGCTGCCGCTGCGTCTTCTTGCTGGCTTTTCTTCCCTTTTTTAATCCATATAACATGTGTCGACAGGTAACAGTAGGGGGCGAGTACCGACTAACGATCGAGTTTCTCTCCCTCGCGCCAATTCGGAGGCTCTTGTTTTCTCTGCCCTTGGTACTTGCACCTTGGACTCTTCCATGTGCCCTATCCCTTCCTTTGCTTGCTTGGAGGACAGCGCGGTGCCATCAGCAGATATTTTTCCCTCAGCTCCGGTAGCAGCACCATTAGCAGCATAATTAAACAGTATCCCCGTTGATGTAGCACGCAGGGTACCCCGACCATCCGCCGTCGACGATCGCGCCTGCAGCGTACAGCGAGGCTCAGCATCTGCGACAAGGGCGCGCGGTGTGGCCTTGTGTATCGTCCGTCCGGGGACAGTTGGGCAAATCAGACCGCGGAGGCCCTAATTTGCTGCCCCTTTGGCGGCACCACACTCGTCAATTGCGCCTGGTCGGCTGAATTGTCTCGACCGGAGCATCATTTCCCCGGTGTAACGGAGGCTATGCCAGGGGGATCGGCCAGCATCCGTATGCCGAACAGAGACACGTTTTACTTAGATCGTATAACAAATATAATCGTGGCTTAATTAACCCCGGCACGGCACGGTGGTTCCAAGTATCAAGGGACGGCGGAGCGGCGGGGAGGGGACAAGCGCGGGGTGGTGGGCTCAGGTGCCGCCCGCGCGCGCCCACATGGTCCCCGGCATGGCCGAGCGGGCGACCCAGGCCGCGCCCGGCAGCGTCTTCTACCATCGGCCCCCCATGCCCCTACGGGCGCGTGAACGCGCCACGTACGCCGTCGGGCGCTTGTTCGCTTCTGCCGCGTGCCCGGAGGAGGTGGTCACCCGTGGCCCGGAGCCGAGATGGACGCACGCAGCCGCAGCGGCAGAGCGGCCACCCATCCCACGCCGCGGCCATGCCATGCCCCCCGCCCCTCTTGACACCCCACATGCGCCCCATTTGGCACGGCCACGGCTGGGCGGCTCGCTGCCGGCCGGCCTCTCTACTTCCTAGTACTCGCACTGCACGTTTCACATGACCTTATCTTGCTTTCACACTGGCATCCACTGGTGAATGAGTGAGTGAGTGAGCCGGCCAACGGTGATTTGGTCGGTGCACCCCGACCGCCCGGTGGTTCTGTTTCCACTGCCGCACGGTGGGCCGCGCGGGCTCGACAGTGTCTTTGATTAACGAGTACTAGCAGCGACCAGTGCCCAAGTGAGCGCGAACTGTAGCTAGTACGAAAATGATAAGTTGGTTTTTGTTTCATTTTTCTTTCGATTCGAAGCATGCATACGTGATGGCTTCACTTTCGTGGGGCTTGCTCAGCTCTGTACAGTAGTGTACAACAGAGTGTAGAGTACGCGGACTTCGCTTTGCAAGGTGGTTAAGCGTGCATGCTCTGTCGGAGAATGGTTGGTGGACGACGCGGTCGGCGTGGTGGAAAACAACAGCGTGCACGGCGGCGTGGATCACTCTCGGGCCGACGCTCCAGTGGAGTACCTCCCGCGATATTTTTATTTTTTTAGATAGGCATATAACCACATGCAAGTATGTCATGTTCTCCGATCTTCCATCAAAATATATCCTCACGTGTTTTTTTTTCTTTAATAACCATGTTGAATCTGCTCAAGTTTATAAAAATAACCAATCAGCATTTGCTACACCAACATAGCGGTCCGACAGCCGTTTCCTCCAGTAGGGCTCGTGAACGCCGCGTGGCACCGCTCTGGCTCGCCGCTGAGGCCAAATCAAGCTTTTTAAGCCGGTCGGCGCCCCCTAACCCTAGCCACATTCACCTCATCCCTCTTTGCGCCGTCAGCCTGAGCCCATCCTCCTCTCTCCCGCTTCGCCGCTCTTCCGACGCCCTTCGGTTTCGTCATGATTCGGCAAAAGAAGACCATGCATGCTATGCTCACGCCAGAGCGCCGGTTCCAGATTGAGCAAGAGATCCGGGCGAGGCGCGCCACCCGCATCGCTGCCGGCCTGCCTCCGGACTCGCCAGAGGAGGAGGAGAAGGAGGAGCCAGAGGAGGGAGGGAGGAAGAGGAGCAGCCGGAGATGGCGCCAGCTCCGAGCTTCAACATGGAGGATGCGGAGGCGGAGTTCACGGTTGCACAAGCGGCTGAGATGGCGGAGCAGCTGGCCATCCTAGAGTCCATCTAGGACGAGGCCTGTGTGGAGGCCATCCTGGAGTCCATCCAGGATGAGGCCTGTGTTCGGCTTGTTAGGCTCGAAGCTCGCTTCATAATGATCAGAGCCGATTAACAATTTCAGCTCATTAAGCTTAACGAGTTCAATGAAAAAACTAACAAGTTTCAAGAGCAGCACATTAAGCTCGTTAGTACATCACAATACATATTTTCGTCTTCGTCACAACATTTTTGTAGCATGTCTCACATCTAATCGACCCAACCTAGACCATAGGAGGTAGAACACTAGTGCACATACTCATGTAGTCACCATCTTCTTTTGTCAAAACCACACATGCACTCTCATCTCGTAGAAGGGAACACATCGTAGTATGTTAACGAGAGCCCGTAAGCGCTCACGAGCTTATCGAGCTTCTAATGAACAGAGCCTAGCAAGGTTTTCTGCTCGTTAAGCTTAACGAGTCGAGCAGCTCGCTAATCCACCCCTACCCCTGCCCCCTCCCCCACTTTGTCCCCATATGCCCAAACTATTCGCAAATCCTCATCTCCAGCCCCCTCCCTGTAATCCCCCCCC